CAAATGGCTTTTTGGAATTGGTTAGAAAGTCTTATATGTTTAATAGTAACGATCCAATCATATCATTATTTTTAAATGGATGTAATGTTCTTGATACTGCTCGTATATTAATTAAGATGCTGCATGCTGATCCAGAGACAGATGAAGATATGCAAGTTACACAACATTCAAGATGTTTTAGAAGTAGATTAGGTATCAGTGTTGTTTCTCACAGTTTTCATCAAATAGCGGTGACACGTTTTGACTTGTGTTGTAGATTGTTTACATTTATGGAGTTGAATTCCAAGAATTATGGACAAACAAAAGAGTATGTTGTTGATGCTAGTAATCTTACTTATAGCTATTGGATTCAGGCTTTATTTTCACATGATATAAAGTTATTTGAAAAAATGATCTCTTCTAATACATTGTTAGCCAGAGAACCATTTATGGATTATATTGATGGGTTATTAAATTACACTTGGCCACTTATTGACGCTTCTATTCTTGTAGAATTCTTATTACAAGAGAAACAATACAGTTTCATACAACAAATGGCGCAATTATTAGACCATAGTAAATGGGAAGAAACATTAATTATCTCATACATGTTGAATAATGATCCAGATAAAGCACTTAGGATACTTAAAAGTGATTTAAAAAAAAATACAAACGATTTTCTTAAAGCTATCACTCTCTTTGAAAAATATAATTACTATGATCATGCAGTAAACCTTGGAAATTATGTATTACGAATATGTAAACATGCTGGGGATAAAAACATGATATCAATGTTCTATTCCAATATTTTTCTTAATAATTTAAAATTGAAAGACTACAAAAGTGCATTCGACAATATTTCATGTTTAAAAGATCAAGATCGAAAATTGAATTGTTTGCATACTTTTGTCTTAACATTACTAGAAAATGATGAAAAAGAAGAACTCCTGAGTTTTAATTTTTATGGCTTACAAAGCTCAGTAGAAGACATAGTACTAAAAAAAGCACGATCTTTGTCTAATGTAGATGCAGATCCTTATTACATGTTTTTATGTTCAATTCATGATAAATATGGAAAGTATAAAAAACTATCCATGACATTTTATGAATTATATTTACGAGCTGACACATGTGTAGCCCAAGAACAATATTTAAGACTATCACTTTTATACTTAGAAGTTTTGAGTCCTAGTGATGCTTGGTTTGTAACAGTTTCATTACCTTTTCTCTCAGAAACTAATAATGTTCAAAATGGATTAATACAAATTGAGCATCTTAAGAAGTTATGTTGGTTGGCTCGAGCTCGTCAGGAAATTGAAGAATCTACAATCAATATGGACGTTCAAAGTGTGGTTTCTGTATTGTTAATGAAACATAAGTATAAAGATGTAATGCGTTTGTCTAAAATGTGGAATTTATCACTTTATCGGCCATTAAGAGAGTTGGTAAAAACATGTTTGTCCCTCACAGATTCTGAAGAGCGCGATAAAGCGTGGATTTGGTTAGCTGACAATGGAGTCAGTGGTGATGGCATTGATAGTGGAAAAATAGCTTGGCATTTTTTGGAGACATTAGTAAACAGGTATGAAGAAAAAGGAAGAACATTGATGCATTATCATGTAGCTGATGAGCTACTTAGACATAAAACATTTTTACCTAGTTGGATTGTCAAAACATTCAAAGAAAGAAATGTTGGTGAATTGTTACAATTATACTTAAGTTATGGAGAATTGATTAACTGTGCAGATTTAATATTAGAACTTTTTGAAAAAGAAATTAGTAGTGGTGGTTCTGTACAAGCATTTGGTAATACAATACCTGTAGATATCATAGAATGTGTTATTGTAAATTTAAAACATAATAAATTACAGGTTGGTGATGAGGTTCTTAATAAATATAAAATATTTTATGATACAATTGTAGCACAAGAAAATACAAACACTAAAGTAAATAATAAGTGTTTTGATTAAAAAGTAATAAGTTTTATATTTTTTACAAACAAGTTATTTAATATATTTTTTGATTAAGTACAATGTCAATTTATTTTTAATCTATGTACTAACTTCTAATGTATAATATATACGCATTGTGAAACAGTTTTAAATAAAAATAAAATATTTTTATCTGTTTAATGCATTATGGTTGTTTATTCGTACACATTTAGAAGAATGTCAAAGAAGTTATCTGCTTTAATAAAATACTTATGTTTAATGCTTAGTTTTATTGATGTCAGTATGTTTACTGTGTTTTTACTAACAATGATCACTATAATGATTAATGTATAGTTTAATTATCATATCTAGGGTATATTTTTTTTTATGTTAAATACACCTTGATCATATATTTGTATATTGTTTCATTGTTTTATCGTAATTTTTACATCACATACACTTATCTGTGTATAAGAATCTTGTGGTTAAGCTTGAGAATAATAATTTAAAAAATCTTTATACTATATTTTAAATCTGTTGATTCTATGTCCTTTATAGCTTATGTTGTATTCTTCTGTCTTAACACTAATCAAGTTTATTATTAATAACTGCTTATAGTAGGTATATAATATTATATGTCATATCAAATTTATCTGTCAAGAAATATCATCATAAAATTATTATAAACCAATCAATTAAAATCCAAGGGCATTTTCATTACATAAAAAAAAAATTAGTGCTGAGAATAGGTATTTTTCAGTGCCTCTATTTATTTTCATCACTTTTAAACTTATCAATACAAATGATTTATTTCGTTAAATATTAATTTACCTTTTTTTAAATTTAACAACAATCACAGTGTATTCATGATTTTGTCAATGTTTAAAACATGTTTCATACATTTTAATAATAACAAACCTAAAAGCCTAATTTTATTCTTATAAATAATTAACAAGTTTTTGATTCTTAACAATACAGAGTATCTCTAGCGTGTTAAAAAATAAATATATATTGCTAATGGCTTCTATTTACTTACATTATTTTTTGATATATGATTAAATGAAGCCATACTGCAATTTCAATCCTATAAAACTGTATTCAGTTTTTGTATATAAAAAAAGAAGCCTTTGAAATATTTAATCATTTTAATTCTTTGGTTTTATACAATCAATTACAATATGTGCACTATTCTTAATCATTAAGTACTTTTATTTACAAACCAATAATACTACAATTATCCTCCCATTGTAAATTATGAGTCTTGAAGGATATGATACTCATGCATTTTTATTTAATATTTCTTACAAATTATACATAAGTATATACTAAATAATAATATATGTACCCATTAATTAACCTTTAAATTCATTGATATTATCAAGTAGGTTCCTACTAAGCAGTTGTACAGGAAATCATTTTATGACCATAGATATTTATAAACATAAATATATGTATAGCTAGGTGCTGACTAATTTACTAACATGGGATTTGAGTAAATTGTTTTGTAATTGTAATATTCACTAATAAATATCCAGAAAACAATAATCCAAATCAGTAACTTCAAATTTAGACTGTTTATTTTACATATGAAGAAAACTTACATTATTATAGAAGAGTAGAAAATAGGTTCCTAAGATAATATCTAGATATAATAGGTTTGATATTATTGTTTAATTTCGTCATTTTCACTCTGTATCGTTTTTTCGTTCGTGTACAATGATTTTATATCATATATTATAATCATTGAATTAAACTTTGACCAACCAATTACATGAAACTTAATGTATAACAGAGTGGTAGTGTCTTGCCCACTTTATTTTTATTCTTGCTATAAGAAGAACTTATAAGCCTGCTTTTATTAAATGTTATGCTATTTGGCTACTCTAAAATAAAAATATTATAATAAAATGTTATAATACCTACATTAATAGAAAAAATAAATTTTTCAAAATGTTTATTAATGGCAGAAAAAGAGCCAAAGTATTTTGAAAATTATATTTTGCCTATAAAAATGTCATCTAAATATTTGGTTAACAATTCGTGTCTAGTAAATAGGGTTTGAATTAGGTAGGAACAGCAAAAACCAAAAACGATTTGTTAAAAACTAGTTTTGCTAGTATTTTTTGGAATATTCATTTACCTACAGTATTAAAAAGTATATATACACAACAAATAAAATATAAAAACAATCATGTTATCTTTGTAAAACTATTCCATTCATCGTTCTAAATCTAAAATAGTTATTAATATAATTATATAAATCTACATATCTATTTTTAATGATATCAAATCGTACATAATTAAATTGTTTAAATGGGTTAATTTTTCAAGATGATAAATATTTAATGTTAAAATAATTACTAAATATAATTTCCTAGTGTAGATACATTTAATATTATTTATTAGTAATTAGCTTATTACTCATGTGCCACATGTCAAAACATATCTATTTATTTTTTTTTAGTTGCAGATAGGCGCAGAACTAAAAATAAAACTGTTTGCAGATTGATATTTAAAAAACGAAAGTCTATGAACAGTTTTACTTATAGGTGTTGTTTATAACATACGTGAGGAGAATTATGAAAAAATAATAAGTACTACTTACCCCTAGTTAAATAATAAGTGATTAAGAGAATAATATGTATACCTACCTTAATATTATAAACATTTAAAAATGAAACCGTTCCCTGGAAAAAAAAAATAACCTGTGCAGAGTATTAAATTCAAATTTAACTGATGTATTGGTACGTTCTAATAGTATGATAATCTTATATTATATACTACCTATACATATTATAGTCTCTGCTCGTATTCGTTTTATGCGATTTCAACGTATTATGTCATTATTAAACTAACTACCTGGAAAAAAACTATAGATATTATAACCTTATGCGTAAAAAATAAAAATAAATATTAGTCGGGGATTAATCATTTGATAGGCTACGGCGACGACTACGGTTAATCCTGCTAGTCACCCCGCCTGCAATCCACAGCATGTGTGCCCTACCATATAAACCTCCCTGCAGCCCTTAAGTACGTATATAAATATAAACTGCGGGTGGCTTAAAAAATACCGTCTGTTCCGGACGTGTACAGTTTATAGTACCTAGGTAGTGTTTTAGTTGTCCGGACTCCGGAACGCGTACACAACCAGTCCACGCATAATAATTTATAACCATCATCGCAATATGTCACCAACTCTAATAATGGACTTCAACCGTACCGTATCAAGACCTCTGCCACAATTGGGGTACGCAAACATATTATCGAGAGAAAAAAAATTAAGCCTCTTGCATTCGAGTGCAGTACATAATATTGTCGAGGAAATTGTTTATTACTGTTCTAATCCCAAGGCCGCGTTATTATATCATTAGCACAGTCTCTCTTATTTCAAAATATACAACTTTAATTAAATTATTTAATTTTTCAAATATAAATATAAATTGCATAATTTCTATTATATATGAAAAAAGTCTAAAGTTCTTTATTATTTTCTCTTTTAATACACACAGTAAATATAAAATACCTATATGTACATCAGACTTGTTTTYATACAAATTTTAGCTTGATGGAAAACGAAGTAGGTGAAACTCACTTGTTGGGTTGGAACCTTCCAGCCGAAGATCTCATCCACATCCCAGAACATTGGTTAAAATACCAAGAACCCAGTGCGTTGCAACATTACTATTTAGCATTTATGTACACAATTTTTATGATAGTCGCTTTATTTGGAAATGGTTTGGTCATATGGATATTCTGTGTGTAAGTATCTACCTTTATGTACCTATATTATTTTATATTCATACAAAAAATACCATTACCTACCTACTGCACAGAAGGTTTACATCATGAATTCATGAATATCAATGTATTATTCAATATAATATAGGTACATTATACCATTGAGTATATAATATGTTGTAAATATAGTACAATATACCGGGTGATTCTTTTATCATTGAACACTCATTATTTCAAAAATTACWAATGTTTTTGAAAATATTTTTTTACATAGTTTCAAGTTGTTCAAAAACCAACGTTTTTATTAAAAAATTATATTTTTAAATATTTTTTATCCTTATCATTTTTTAAGTTTTTTACTTTTTTGAATGACAACCTAGAGTTTTAATTTCATATTTCAAAGCAGAATATTTTTCTAAGTATTTTGATACTTAAAAATCGAATTTTTAACGAGTAGTTTATGAGTTATAAGYATTTAAAGTTTAGATTGGCGGAGTGGAGTGTTGCGGGTGCGTGGTGCTATACCAAATGAATATAATAGTTAATAGTTATCTATTATTTCGATAGTGAGGATTCTTGTAATACATAGCTGATAGCTAATTATTATATATCTTATAAATATTTTATTAAAGAAAAAGAAAATTGATTTTCATCAGGTACTAGGTAGGCACTGAAAGTTATACCTATTAGTTATTGCATACACCCCAAGACCAGTAAGTATCTATACGTACCTATTATACCTACCTAGTTATAGAATGAGAAACATCCAATAAACGGGTTGGTTAGACTTAGACATAAAATTTGTTTGGAATTTTTCAAAAATAATAAAATTACGTTTATTCTACTAAAATATTTTTTGCGGATAATTTTATGTATATTTCGATTCATTCAAGTTCTATATCAATAGCAATGTGTCTGTAGTTATCGTTGTAAATAATAAATCAAAATTGATATTTGAATCTAACCTTGATTATTAATAATATAGTAAATAGGCACTTAATTTTTTATTATGTATCTTTGAAATTTTATTGAAAATTCAGTATCAAATGTATTATCAGTATTCAGTACCCACCTATTTATCCAAAACGTGTTTTATTTTTTTATTAAGAAAGTAAATATTTACAATCTGTGTAAAATTCAACCATAAATGTTAAATAAAATGCATAAAATGCATTGTGGACGTGTTGAGTGGAGGAAATGTTCTTACTTATTTGACACTATAGCCAGGTAGTACCTATTAAGTATAGGACATAGGTTACATTACATAGTACATACAACAAATAAAGTTACAATTGAATAATTTATTTCAGAGCAAAGCCATTGCGAACACCGTCAAATATATTCGTAATCAATTTAGCATTATGTGATTTCGTGATGATGGCKAAATCACCAGTTTTCATATACAGTTCTATAAATCGCGGTTATCAAGGCCATTTTCTTTGCCAGTTATTTGGTGTGGCCGGAGCTTTCAGCGGCCTCGGGGCGAGTGCTACGAATGCTGCAATTGCATACGACAGATTTAGGTAAAATACGTACCTACCTAATAACTACCTGATTTCTTCTAACTTTATCCTGGACCATTTTCAAATTATTTCCTTACTTTCTCCTTTCTACTTAGCAGTTGTATTTTATGTAAACATATTATAGGTAAAAGGTAATTGTTATTGGAGTACCTATCGATATATTTTTGTTTTTGGTGTAGGCAAGTACCATCATAGTCACTTAGGTGCCATTTAAGTAGGACGAATGTATACGTTCCTACACGATATAATAAGGTACATATGTAAGTTCCCACACTGCGTATATTATTATATATAAATATAATAGGTATATATATAATTTATAAGTTATCAATCTAATATCAGTTATGTCATATGAAATTGGCATACATTTTAACATAATAATAATACGAATAATTCATAATTGTAAAAAATATATAAGTAGGTACTGCATTCTATATAATAATAGATTTATAATTATAAGTTTTTAATGTATAAGTTATCTTGTCAGATTAATCGATACGCTGTCGTTATAATCTATATTCATAGATTCCTTACTTTAATAGTTTTACAGGCATCATGTATATATATATTGAAACAAGTGTGATTATATATTTATATATTATTTCATCACTTATCCCACACTATTATATTTTTCTAAATATAATTTTAAATCATCAATTTGATAACTTATTATAGYTATAATAGTATGAAAACGTAGTACATATAAATATTTTTTCTTACTATTAAAATGTATAATAAAACTTATAATACTATATAAAATATAGCATATTTTTTATACATATGTAGGTATCTTTTTTTACCGTGTAAAAACTTACCTACATATYATATATGTAGGAATCAACGTAGGTATGTAATTCTTTACCTGTTACTCTCGTGTAGGAACTTACAATTCCCCTACGCTTCGTCTACAATAGGTATCTATATAGTACGTATATAATATATTACTATAAACCTATTATTTATTATTATCTATTACCATTTGCAATGGCATTTGGAATTTACCTATAAAAAGTAATCACGACTGTTAGTATTTAGTATACCTAAAGTATACTTTAGTATAGGTACCTAAATTTAGTAACTATACTACTATATACTTATAGTTTAGCTGTGCAGGTGAATACYTACGTAAATTTAATACGCGAGTATTGCGTCCTCTTACTACTAAATACTATCTATCCGTTCCTAATCTTATCTAATAAGCTATTGTAATAAATTACATAATAATATATCTGTTTAAACTTTTTAATTTTCACCAAGTTAAATTTTGTATTATTTTTTAAATTTATCATTCGGCGTTAAATGAATCCACTTTTAACATATCAATTATAATATCAAGTTAGCCATTACACATATTAGGTTATATATAATATTATAGTCCATACTGTTGGTATAAGATTTATTTGCATTAACTTGGTGTAGGATAAAAATAATAACCTTGTATTAAAATGTTTGATACAATAAACGTTTGGTTTGAAAATGTGTTTTTAATATAACATTTCATTTTTTAGTACGATAGCAAAACCATTCGATGGACGTATGACTTATGGTAGAGCATTTTTTTTAATCATATGTATTTGGACTTATACTTTGCCATGGGGCCTCTTACCTTTAACTGAAAAGTGGAATCGTTATGTACCAGGTTAGTCATTAATATTTAATATAATATGTACGTATATAYTAGGCATATATTAAATCAGATTTGTATTATTTTATTTAAAAAATGTTACGTAGGTACCTAAAGTTAAAAAGCCAAAAAGCTAAAATTAAAAATTGGATATTTCAAGAAAAAAACATAATTCCTAATTCCTATATAAAATACCTATAGATTTTTAATGATACACGTTGTGAACATAATAAATAAAAAATAACAATAATATTTTTAACTTATACTTTTAACTATTACTATTTGAAGTATGGAAGTTATTGTTTTTACAATATTTTATAATACCTATATATTAACTAGGCAAGTACATTTCTAAAACTATATATTCTTAGTGTTTTCACGTACCTACTCTACTGCTCTAGTATCTATATAAAAATTGTGTATATAAACTAAAATCAAATTAAAAAAATATATGTATAATTCAATAAAAATATAACGAATTTAAATTTAAATTGTGGGTGCTTCAAATCAGTTTAATACATACCTATCTATACGTAATTGATCTTTTACCGGATTCTTGAGCAAAAGCTTTTTCTAATAATTCACTATTAACATATTATTATGTAATTTATACTACTTTCATAATCATTATATATTAATATAGGTATCTAATAGGTTTTTGAATTTATTTATTGTATTAATTGTTTACAGATTGTAAATATTTTCTAATWAATAAAAAAAATATATATAGGTTTTGGTAGAAGGTTGTCTACATAGTAGTGTAGACTGTAAGTATAACATAACTTTTGTATGGTGAAAGGGGATTAGCAGCAAAAAACATAACTTTAGGTAAACAGTAAGCACCATGTGTTTTAATTTATTTATAATAACCTAATTACCTAAAAGAAAATGGTCATTAATCATCACTTCATCAGTGTATGAAAAAATAATTTTAGGTTAAAACCTGAATTCTAGCCTTCCAAATTCAAAAGCTTAGTTATGGCTTAGTAAAGTCTGTCAAATCTGTAAGCTTCGCAATACATTTCTTATGAGTTATGAATCGTTTAAAACGTATACTCGTACATACGAGGTACACATATATTTACAGGTATATTATAGGTACATTTTATTTCAACATTTATTGTATAGGTATTAAAATAATTAAATTTAAATTTAAAACTCAAGTATTTTAARCTTTTAATCAGTTGATCTATTTATTCTTCTGCAGTGATGATGGGAATTAGGAATTTCGTGTTTTACTATTATTGTGTGGTACTTACTATGGAGTGTGGTCAATGTGGATCTGGCTTATTATTTTATCAAGTGAAGATGAGATAGACAATTAGCAATATTATTAATTGTGTATGTCTTAATATCTTATGCATATAATATACAATAGGTACTTAATATTTGATATAATTTTAATATAGGTACTAATAAGCACTCAAAGATATTGAAAGCCAATTTTTAGAAAATTTAAATCTAGCAGGCTAGAGCATAGAAAGCAAAACAAAAGGTCATTGAATGTAAATATTAATAATTAGTATAATTAGTACCTATTTATTATTTGTGGTTCTTACAACTTATTCAATATGAGTTTTGGGGTTAAGTGACCGCAGATGATTACGCAGAAAAATCAACTTCCATTTCGGAAGTGGAAACATTATGTAAAAGGTGACCTAACTTATCTGGTGTATCCGAATTGCATGSTAAAAAAATAAACATAAATTTAAATGTCCAAATTGCATGCTATCTCTTAAAGGGGTCTGTCCGAATTGCATACCACCTAGTAAAGGGGTCTGTCCAAATTGCATGTCACGTCTTAGAGAGGTATGAGTTATGCCATGTACCTTGCACAAGTTTATTTATCATGTGCAGGAAATTCAAAAATAAAGTTTAAATTGTGCATGTAAGTGCATGATGAATAAACTTGTGGTTATACGGCATACYCTTCTAAGAAATATATAAGGAATATAAGGTGTGGCATGCAATTTTTACAAGCCTCTCAAGACGTCGCATGCAATTCGGACATTTTTGTTATTTTTGGGATGCAAAATGCGATTCGGATACAGCCAACTCACCATCTGTCAGACATTTTWTGTTTGATTTGATATGTTTCATATTAGAAAATTTAGATACATTATATTTACAAATACACAGATAATAGTGTTGATGCCAAATCTAGCGAGAGTGGATATTTTTCAACGGAGAGGTACCTAATTTTTTACCGGCTAATTTTTTATTTAACAGCGCACGTCAATTTCTCTTGTAGATCAAAGTGGATCTGTTTGCCAATCACATAATTTTATGTATCTTGATTTTCAATTTCAACTGTTATAGAATTGTTGTACGAATGTATCATCTACGTCAGTACGAATATTATAATTTATAAATACAGATAGGTAAACGTTAAAATTGTAGCAATTTTAAAATGTAGCAAAAGCCAGAAAAAAGGTACTCAGGCCGCCAGTTGTCCATCAGTGTTATGTAGTAGGTACTTACATACATATTGGTGTAATTTCATTACATTTCAGTAGGTTCAAAACTTTTATCGGTTCAATAATTGTAATGACAAATTAAGTCATATTTAAAGCTAATCGCTTTGCTCGCGTTTACTATACTTAGTATATAGGTAGGTATCTTTTATTATATTTGATAACAATATAACATAAACAAATATCAAAATATGTATATTTTAAGCATTGTTATGTGGTATATCTGTACCATAATACATTAAAAATATAATATTAAGGTATTGAAATTAACTATAATTTAAAGTGATAACAAAATTTTTAAAGTAGTTTATAAAAAATTCAACAAATCAATGAAATATAGTATGTATTGTATTTTAATAGGTATTAAGTTCAGCGTCTRCAGGTATAAAAGCTTATCTTTGCACCTGCCACATAATACTAGGAGGTGCAAGTGCACCGTCAGGCACCCCCGTAATTACGCCACTGAGTACATAGGTACCTAATTGTTTTATATCAAATCCGAAAATCATTGCTGTATTCATGGGTACCTACCTATTTTATTTTTTTAAATGTATATTCTATTTAATCAATTATAATGTATAATGAAATAACAACATATTTTTATGAATATCAACAAAAATATTATTTTTTTAAGCTTTTACAAAAAAATAACATAATTTCATAGAATATAAAAAAAGGTGTAAGAGAAAGACTATCTGAGCAAGTTTTGACTACCTACCATCCTTTGTAGGTATGCACTCTGGAGTTTACAATATTAATCAGATACAATCTGAATATGATAGCCTCTATACTCTATAGATTAATAATGTAATTCTTCTGCTGTTTGTTTAAAAACTTAGTAAACTTATTTAAGTCGTTTAAAATTATTATCAAGACTGTATTGTTTATTTCAGAGGGGTATTTGACAAGTTGTACCATTGACTATTTAACTCCAACTGACGAAACTAGAGCTTTCATTGGAATTATGTTTGTTATTTGTTATGTAATACCGGTTTCATTAGTCATATTTTTCTACTCGCAAATCGTTAGTCATGTCTTCAACCATGAAAAAGCACTTCGAGAACAGGTAGTTTATACTTTTATGGCACAAGAGTTTTTTAAAATACAAAATATATAGCTATCTACTTAACAAAATCAATAATGATAAATCATTGTATTTGATATAACTATAGGTTAAGTTATAACTATTTATTCTTTATTCATATGATAGTTAATTAATTTCTTATTCGTTGTAGATTATGGGTAGGTACTGGCGTGGTAAGTGATATTCTTAATACGGGAAAAATATGTTATTTAATATTTTTAAAGCTAATAAGTGATACTATATATTGCCTAATAATATTATTATTTACATTTTATAATTATTATTATAACTACTACCCACTAAACTTTCTATAAGCTTCGGAAAAGTGCAAATTATTTAGAGGTTATGTGCACCACGCAATAGTACCTACCTATCTTTTATTTAATTTAGTGATTTAAGTTATATGATTTTTTTATTATTTATGATTTTTCATACCATGACAAATATTGATTATAAATACCTACATTATTCGATATTTTATAGCCAGTTACACATATATAATTTTAATGCGTAAAGTGTATAACGCCTTGAAATATCTTTCCCAGAATATATTTAATTTTAAATATATTTATTAATCTTGACATTAAGGCTAAAAAAATGAACGTAGACTCGTTGCGAAGTAATCAAGATGCAAACGCTCAATCGGCGGAAGTAAGGATTGCAAAAGCAGCTATCACTATTTGTTGCCTATTTATAGCTTCTTGGACACCATACGCTGTGGTCGCTATGATTGGTGCTTTTGGAGATCGGTATGATTTGTAMAACTTTCTAATCTTTAAATATTTCCTGTTTATTAAACTACTTACTTATTAATTAAGTTTTTAAAATAAACTTGTACCATTATCATAGGCGCAAAAAGGGGGTATAGAGGGATTAGCCCCCCAAAAACAAATGATTTTACTACATGATATACACATAAAAGCATCATAAGAGTATTCAGTATCCTGATCTGAGCTACAGATTCAGCCCCCCC